TGTTTCTAGTTGGTGCTCATACCATCTCTCAGTGGTTTCGATTTTGTGCTTCTTGCATATCTTCCAGTGCACGTATGTCGCTACCTTGTTATGTTTCTGGGTATATTCAGTTTTTTCGAGGTCCGGTCATCCTGATATAATATGGTCGACAGTTTCATCATATTTACCGCAGATCCTGCATTTCGGGTTAGTTCCATCCTTGATGGTTATGTAACAGTGATAGGATCTGGTTGCGAGACTTTGGTCCTGAGCTGCAATAATTAGGCCTTCATTGTTATTAATATTATTATTATTATTATAAGTGTTGTGTGCTAAACTAGATTTAACTGATACATTATCATATAAACATAACAGAGTTAATTTGCTGGCCTTTTTTTTATTTCCTTTGACTTCTGTTATACACTTATTTCCTTCCGGATCTCAACCAGAAATAGCATCATTTTCCAGTAGGCATTAAAAAAAAAATAGTAAAATCACACACATTTTGCCTAGATAAAGCTCTTTGTAATGTGTGAGCTGTACTTGTGAGTCCAATTTTTTGTATTTCTTTAAGGTATGGGCTACAAGGAATCTCTTCAATGAGTCTATCGGAATCTTTTTCAATCGATCCGAGGAATTCAACTACAACTTGAATCATTGAAGTTCTCTTGCCCGACATTTTTGAGATTTCCACTTCAAAATCCTTGTATTTTGATAGTTTTTTGAAGATCTTCAAAAACTGTCATGTCAATAAGAAGGCACATTCAGTTCTTGTGGTCTTTGATCACGATGTCTGGGCTATTAACTTTGTTTTGTCTGTGTGTATTGTATAATTCATTCTCTTAACAATCAAGAAATACCGGACCAGAGAGTAATGTCTGACAGAGTTCTCCAAGTGGAAACAATAGACACTTTCTTTCTCAAAACCTCAACTCTGTTGAGATCTTGAGAAATGTAGAAAAATATACTTTAGTAAAAGTAAAATATCATCCAATTCAGAACTATAGGCATAATTACAATTGTTATTTATATACGAAAGAACATTCCAACATTAAAATTCAAAAATCACATATTGGCTGAACTTATTTGATGTGGTATTGTCATTATTATTAATTTTTAACTAGTTTTTCTCTCATCCTATTTTTGTTAAGAGGCATTGATAAAAAGAAACTCGTGTCAATAACGAGCCATGAATAAGGCAAAAGAAAAATCAGTGAAAAAATGAAAATCAAAGAAATTCAGACAACTCAAATTTTTTCAATATTTTATACTACAATGTAAATCTAATAATGTGGCATCAAAGACGGCGAGTCAAATAAAAACAATGCATCTTTTTGACTGAACTTGCATAATTACATGTATGATGATTTTAGTTGAGAATTTTTGGTCAAACTTTCCGGTCAAATAGAAACCGAAGGATGAGAGTTCAAATCACGTCGGAAGCGGATTGTTGATTTCCCTTCCGTGTGCTTCCTTTGCTTACTTAACGAAGAAATAGAATGGCTTGTGTTTTACAAGAACATAATATAAAAGAAAATCTAATTGAAAAGAATAATTTAATTTAAGCTTTTGGTCCACGCTGTTACTATAAAAGACTGCAAGTTTAAATTGAACTCTTATCGCCTATCATTCAGATTATGTCACACATGGACAGTTGCTTATCGATTAAACTAAGGATTCGGACATCAGAGCTCTTTCAAATCTTGCTACATTTCTTTTTACAAAAATAAGCTGAAAAATAAGTCAAAATTGTGATGGACATGTTTTCATCTGAGAAATTCTAGCACCATTAACTATTACATTTACTGTTTTACCGCAAAAATAATGTTCTCTGAAATAATAATATGAAATAAAATTCATAATGACATACTTCACTTAAAAAAATTCACATAAGGCGATTACATCTACAGTTACTAGTTAATAGAAAGCACAAAAAAAAGATAAAAAAGAAGATGAAACCTACTAAATTATTAATAGTAAAGATACATCGACTTTATGAATTTAAGCGCAGTACTAGATTGGCAGTTAGATCTCATAATTTTTACATTTGAAATGGCTAGATGTAACTATAAGTTCTATATTAACAATTTCTTCTCTCACATTTCTTGCTTTTAAAAATCTCTTTTGGTCTCTTGCTTTCCAGTCAACTTTGATCTTCAAAAATGAAAATACAGTGTCAATCACTATCTTCTGTCTTCTTAATTCCTGTTCATTTATTGTTCTCTCTCCTTAATAATATTTTGATTAATCGTGTCGGTGTGTCTCTGTGGGTGTGATTAAAAACCCTAGTCTCTTTTTGCAGTCTTGTCGTTAGTTAATCCATTACTACCGTTTAATGTAATTCATCCACATGGTTGATCGAATTTTTGACCCTAAATCTGAATAAGTTGAAGTTAATAAATACGTATAACGAAAAAAATTCTGATTTCGTCAAAATTAATCTTATCCAACCATCATATAAGAATTTAATTTTTTTAAATTATTTAGACTCAACGCTCATTTCGTTTTATATAAAAGTGCAACGACGAAAAATTTAAAATGCTCATATCTTCCGAACGAAAGTATTTGTTTGGTTTGAAAACCCAACGGGCTGAACGAGAATGCATCGAGAGCCGATAGAGAATAAAGCTTCTATCACTTAAGAGGTAACAACAGGAATTTTATTTTTAAATAAGAAAAAGGAATGCAAATGTGTTAAAAGTCAAAAATGTGGACGCATGAGTTGACTTTTGATGGTTGATGGTAATTTCGTTTTTCCTATCGGTGATCATGATACCGACCAACGCCCGTCGATTGCAAAAACGAAACTACTTCAACTAAACTCGGTAAATGCTAAGATTTCGAATTTCTATCAATTTCTGGGAATCATCGTTATTATAGACTGATTCTGACTTTAAATTTCCAGAACGTTACTGAATCCGTCTGGCAGATGAACAAAGCCGGAAGCCTAGATGTTGTGACTATCAAAACCAAGATGAGATCAAATTCTAATGTAAATCATTGTATAATAAGATTTCCAATGCGGATTTTTAAAACAAAGAAGCATTTTCTATTTTGGAAATTAGTCCCACAATATTTCGTCGTCACCGATAACGATTTTTATAGGGTTAAGTTTAATATATTCACAGGCGAAAACAGTTTACTTATTAGATTTAGATGTGATAATATTTGAAGGTTTTAGATGATGCATTGGAAGTTATGATTTTTTGGTTAGTATTTCTTTAATCTTATTTCTGCTAATTTGTATCACATCTCTTAGATTCATTAGTAAGCATCGGAAATAAATGATCATCAAGGAACTGCTATTGAAAGACGGTCTTCTGAGGATACTTGTTCAGATCTCGCCGGAAACTCATTCTTTATTTCAGAACTGCGCTACTTTCTATCGATGGCAGACTGTCAATCTGTGTGTGAGTTGTGTGATAAAAAGTAACACTAGCCAAAATTAATAAAATTAAGTTGCAGTGGAGACTTCTGTGGTTATTGGCCCTCATTCGATGGTACTCCTTCGAAGGGTTGGCGGAATTGCGTCTCGATTAAGGGACGAGCCTCGCAAAACGGAGTGGCTCTTGCAGCGTGTCTTCTCACTGGATATGGTGCGAGGTAATGCTTTCTCCATCATTGCGATTTGTTTTGTTTTTGTTTACGGATAGTTTGTTTAATTAAAAACTTTGTTTATTTTTTCGAAATAATAATCATTGACGTTTTCATATGACGTCACTTTCAAATATGTCATAAGGTCGACTATGCATTTGACGTTATGAAAATATATTGTCAATCAGCGTAAAAAAAACCAACAAGGAATATTAGTCTTTTGCTTGTCTGCGATTTGCTGAGAATCACTTTCAAAATGGAAAAAACAGAAACTTAAAAAATAATTATTAAATAATTTTCTTGTGTTGCTGTTCTTAAAAGAAGTTTTTTTAGTGGGAGAGGCTGAAAAAGCTTGACCGATACAAAGATCAACTAATGAAAAATACGTGATACTGTTTCAAGTGAAACCCGACAGAAACAGAGCCACAATGTCTACCGAATTTGTCGAACTCAGTCAAACCAGCATCATACCATGGAAGCGAAAATCCGACTACGCCAAGTACGTGAAAAAGGTTTACCCTGTGACAGAGCAGTTGAAAGATTTAAAATCATCTATCGATTTGAAGGAGCGAGAAAGCAAGGCCCTTCTGGAACGCATGAATACTGCCATCAAAAAGAATCGCCAGACCATTGCCAAACTCTTTGATCAAAATTACCTAAAGCGCCAAGAGCTGAAACATGCACCTTACCAGTTGGAGGTATTGCCAGCAGGGAAAGTGTATGCCACCATAGCCCATCCAAAAATAAACTATAAGACTGACAGAGCCCTCGAGTCAATGTTAGATAAGCTGTTCGATAATTGCAAGCAGCTGAACCTACAGCATGACCAATGGAAAAAATGTCATGAGACACTTGATATTCTTGATGATCAATTAAAATACTTGGGCGAAGTCAGAAGAAGTCAGGACCTTCTGAAAGAAGAGTTAATGAAGCGACTTAAACAGATTCATTCAAAACACAGTAAAATGTATATCAAATGGCAAACCGCATGCAACGTACTAGATACCTACAAGCATCTGATAGATGTCATGCAAAGTAAGCTAATTAATTTGCCAAACAATATCGACTTTACAAAGAAGAGTTTGGAGCAGGCCAAGCAGGAACTGGAACAGTTGAGCAACGTGTACTCCAACGAGTTAAAAAGGTGTCGACAAGTACAAGACACACTAGAAGAAACCAAAACAAAATTTCTTCTCGACAGAAGGAGCCAAGCATCGGCTTTGAAAGAAGTACAGATGAGAACAAAGAAGGTTGATTATAAACGATGGAATCTGGATAGAGATGATCAAAAGTTGAGTCCCGAACAAACAGAGGCTCGTTTACAGGAAGTCAGAAAGGAACTAGATAGCACCGGAAGTGAAATCGCTGAATTGCAAGGATTGGCCGAATACATTAAAGAGCAGCTCTGTATTTCACAACCAGAACAAATGCTCCAGAAAATAGACGCTGAAGATGAAACGCAAATTCGATTAATAGACGCGACTGACTGGACCCTACAGAAATTGGTGTGCAAAGAAAATGAGATTCGACTGGCCCGTGAGCAGATCCTAGTGGCCGAGAATAAATGTAATCGTGAGCTGAACGAAATTCGGCGTAAAGTAAGAGAGACGCAAAACTTGTATCTTGTGGAGAAAGAGAAAAACCGAACGATGCGAAAGAAATGTGATAAGATAAGTGGTGTAATAAAGGCGTTCAAGAGAGGTCAAAATGATGTACTCGAATTGGTGGAGCACATTGAGCTGGAGAAACCTGGGACGAATAACATGGAGGACCTAAAAAATAAAGTGGAGATCGTAATTGAGAGTTTACGACCGAAGCCGGGCAAATTGTCATCTAGCCCTGTTTTACCCGCTGACCATTTCGAAGAGGAACTAAAGAAGTGTTTGGCGTCCATCAACTTTTACAATCAGGTGGAAATAGACACTCTTGAGTCTTCCAATGCAAATTACCATTCTTACGAAGACAGGAAGAACATATCAAAGAAAGTTATGGATGATGTGAAGAAGGGAAGAAGGCCAAGCGTAATTCGTTAAGAACAAATTTAGTGACTTTTAAGCAAGAAAACCTGGTCAAAAGTTAATATTCTATCTAAGCAAATTGATAAAGTAATTGAATTAAAATAAAATCGCACAATAATAAAGCAAATAATTGATTTATTTTTATTAAGTTATCTTTGAAGCTAGAACGATAAAAAGGGAAACCTTTTCTGCATTTTTCTTTTTATCTGTAGACTACCCCAGTTTCTCTATTCATTGAAGAAATGTAATGAAAAATGAAACATTGTTTAATTTAGATCTTTATAGGGCTTTCTCTTATATCGTTATCATAAATTCTTTACTTGTTTTTCCTTAATCATGTCTATTCATTAATTGCTATTAATCACAACTCTGACATCGTTAAGTATGACGCATCGTTTATTACAGAGACTCTCTTACCATTACGATGCCATTATGAAAAGTTTTTACATGCAAATAACATATATAATAACTACTTTACCGCTATATTTGTTTTCTCTAATAACGTTAAATGTAATAATTTAACAATTTCTTAAACGGATCATTGTCATTGTTGTCTGTGACTAAAATTGTTTTTAAAATTTTATTTCCATTTCTTTTTATCGTGACTCTCAGATCAATATTCTAAATCCCTTAAGCGTGAATCAGAAATAAAGAATACGCTTCTGCAAGGATTTGAACACGCATTCCTGATCCTTAGTCTAATTTATGACTCACTTTTTTTACTTTATTTCATAGGGATTGGTGACTATCTTTTCCTTACGCACATGATCAGGCATGCTTGATTTCATTATTTCACCCTTAATTTTGTTGTTGCAGTCATTACGTTTCTCGCAAACTGTAAATGTATGTTTGAAGTAATTTATGATAAATCCTACTCTTGTTATAGCAGTGCATCGATCGAATTTGTGATCTCATAACCAGGGAAAAATCAATAATTACCACATCCAGTGTATGAGTGCGTAATTAACTATTTAGCTCTTTCCGATTGAATGTTTTAAATGTATCTTAAACCTCTGTTTATATTTCTGTGTTGAGGTATCGTAATTATTTACATTGCTCAGACTGTGGTCCTCATCTTTATTTCCATATTAACAATTTAGGTGATACCGTCATACTCTGGCCACACCAGGAAGAGGTCCAGCTACCATTGAACCATTTGAATTCAATAAGATTTTCAATACAGTGCGCAATGGAGAGATAAAATGACAAAAGCTCGCATTCCTGGATGTACTAATATCTCGAATAGAGCATGGGTTCAAGACATCCGTATACCGCTAGCCAGCATTCATCGGACAGTACCCCAACCAACTCCCACCACCCAGTCCAAAGAAACGTATCGTCCGCTGCTTACAACATCGAACAAAAGTCGTAAGTGGCGACCCAGAGACATATGATCAAGAAATGGTCAGTATAAGCAGTACCTTACAACTACCCTGGGTAGCAGCTTCGACAAAATGGGATAGAAGGGTACAAGATGATAACAACACTCCAAAACAGTTTCGGTCTGCTCACCCTATGTGAATGGATTATCGGAGAAAATACAAAAGATCTGTGGTCCATATAACATCAGGACGACTAAGTAAGTTGATTTTGGTACAAGGCCACAGATATTGGGTATTCACAGATGACGGAATTCAATACTTAATAGTAATGATATAGGAAACCAGTTTTCCTTCAAAGCATAGCAATTGGTCACTTTTGGTAGAACGACATTGGTATTGGATACCCTGCCTACCCCAGGTTCTCGACCTCAGTCATGACGGTAGTAGTTCACAATAGTCAATTCGATAATATTTTCCTTGGCTATTCTTCTCCTAGATAGGTTGCCAACCATGGTTATAGTGATCCGTCTATCCTGCTTTTTAATCTATGGCTGGGAAGGAGAAGGTCATTTATGCAAAATTCGAACTCAGTTCGTCGATTTCTCGTCCCGATCGGCTAAACATTGCACTATACCCACTGAGGATCGAACCCAGTAGTAATGGTCTACTTCAGTGGTTCTCAAACGGTGCGGCGGAAGAGGATAGCAGGTGAGGCGGAATGATTGAAAAACAATCAAAGATTTAGAAACAGTTTTAATGTGCCAAAAATAAATCTAAAATATTATTACGGGTTACTTGTAATTGCATGCATGAGTCCCAGTATAAATAGTTATAAATAATTATTGACCGATTTTATAATTGTGATATTTTTGCATTATATCAAGAATTAAGAATATAATAACTAGGCTCTGCAAATTGGAGGAGAGAGTTATCAATGATAATGTTCAACCTTCAAGTTCGCGGTTATCTCTCTTTAACACTCTCTCCGTTTTTTTAATTTTTAAATGTACGTTTTTATCATAAAATTTGGTGAGGCGCCAGCAAATTTTCATTCCAAAAATGCGGCCCAGAGAAAAAACGTTTGTGAAGCACTGGTCTACTTGTTAACTATTAAATATTCCCGCTGTGAGGCGATCGTGGAAATCATTTTTAAATAATAATAATTTTTCCCTGATTTCTAAAATTTATGCGAAATGCTTGCATTTCCATTTTAATTTTGAACAAAATACAGAAATTAATTTCATACTCATCCCTCAATAAAAAAGATTTATATTTTTAAAGCTGAATTTCATTAATATTTTCTATTTTTCAAATGTTTGAAGTCTAGCCAAAATTGGTTCTCTCACATTGGGAACTATTTCACATCAATTTCTTTAAACATCAACTAGTGAATAAAGAACATTTAGTTTTCCGTTTTACAGATTTTGCCCTTTATAAATAAATTAAGGCAACTCTGATTTTCATTTCTAGAAATGCAAAAGAAACCCGAAAAAGAAATATTACACACTCAAATTTTATAAAATAATGTGCAATATTTATAATTTTTAAATGAATTGTCATAAATTATTTATTTTCTATGAAATATAAAAAATTAGCTTATAAAAACAAAAAGCGATACTCTAATATTATCAAAGATATTTAATTACTAAAACAGCAATTAAAACTATTTTAAAGAAATTTGCTAAAATATGTATTTTTTTAAGTTTATGTTTTAATATTTTTAATTACAAGCAAAAATAGTGTCTTCTCTTTGCATTTGCCTTCGATTATTTTTTTAAAAATATATTTGAATTCTTATATTACTTATTTGTTTTACTGAATATTTTTTGTTGTCGTCAATCTCTTTATGATTACCAGTTGGTAATTTGGTGTCTGTAGCGTGCATTTTCATAAGATTATTAATGACCATTTCATAATTTGATATCGTTTTTCCATCGAATACTTTTGCCCATTCTTGGAAAAGGTCGCTGGAGATTTATTTTTATTCTAGTAAGTTTTATTTTGATGATGTCGGCTCAGAACTAAAATTGAACTCTTCCGAAGTCGAACTTTTTCTGGGGTTTACCTCCAGGAAGTCTGATTATTTTAAGAAATTTGTTACCGTTATATTAGATAGATAGCTAAAGAGAAAAAAGAGAGAGTATGTGTGTGTAAGAGACAGAGAGAGAGAGAGAGAGAGAGAGAGAGAGAGAGAGAGAGAAAAGAGAGAAAGAGAGAATGAGGTGGCGGCAGGGTAGAAAAGTGAAGGTATTGTAAGAAAAAGTTTCGCAATTTAACAACAAAAACCTGGAGCTGTGTGGCCCGGATGTTCAAGCAACCAATATTGGCTGAGGAAATTAACTGACTTGAATAGGCAGGTTCTGTAAATATCAGTTCCATTCAGAGAAGCAATATTGAATAATAAATCCAAAATAGATATACATTCCGGGTAGAGAGTAGGTGGAGTCGGTATCATGGCCAGTTTGTAAGAAAATAAAAAGAGAGATAGAATGAATGTGGAAAATGAAAGACTGGCGTTCTTAATCAAGTTCTTTAGACATGGCTTCTATTAAAATGGACGAGGATAAGCAAGATTTTCGAACTATAGAGCTATTTCTTATGAAATACACAATATTTAAGTATATATTTTTCTGGATAATAATCATAAGTCATCATTTAAACATTATCCGACGTCACGGGGCCTTTTTGCATTGTGGGATAGAAATCTACACGAAGAGAGAAAGAAATATTTGATAATTAATTCAAGAAAATGACATTATTTCATGATTAAATTATAAATACTTTTTTTTTTACAAATAATCTTAGAAAATCAAGCAAAGAGTAATACCTTGTCTCCTCTTAAAAGAAACTTACGAGGAGACAAGTTAAGTTAATCATAGCAAATATTTATTTGATTTTTTTTGACAATGTATGCCATGTCTTCAATTTTACTATTAAAATATATTGATTGTCATTTTACTATAAAAAATGTATTGTCAGTAATTTTTTTATAAAAATGAATTGCTGGGAATTTTACTATAAAAATGTATTTTTATACTTTCCTAGTGTTTCGATTTTAGTTTAGGGGTTTCACTATATACATAGCTGGGACCCTAACAGGTGCTACCACCCCGGGTCAAGGTGGACCTAGGAACAACATTAATTAAGTAGTGATTCCACGCTTCTCAAACCCTCTAATCTCCCGATCAGATGTCTTGCTGCCGAATATAGTTTATCGTCATACCCAGGATGACCTAGCTATGAAGACCCAACTAATTAAATGTGTGAGAACAGATTAAATGTTTTTTCACTGTCTCTCAACAGATTCATTTTCTTTATTATCTTTTGGGGAAGGAGAGTGGTTTTCCGTTGCCTTCTCCCTTGTTAGGAATTCAGAGTTTTCTTTCTCTTAATTTGTTACCTATGCGAGGTTAGCGGCACCGGTCTACCGTAACTGAGAGATCAAGTGTTAAGAAAATAAAAATACCCCCCCCCCCCAATTTCAGGTGATATAACTACTGCAGTCAGTCCATGATAACAACAAAGGTAAGGATATTAGTCTGAATGTAAACAGCGCATTTTTTAATTTTTTTTTTTGTTATTTTTTGCATAATTATTTTTACATTATTTACATTATTCAGACTATTGTCCTCATCTTTGTCGCCAAATTTATCACAACGTTTCGGCCGTTGTACGCTCCGGCCTTCTTCAGGT